CGTACTCGAAGTCAGAGGCGATCTGTTGATCCGTGCCTGAATTCCTGGTAGCAGTTGCTGCTGCACCAGTGCTGCTCTCTGCATGGTATTCCTGTGACTGTGAATAGTCATACGGGCCACTGGGTCCTGCACCTCTCATATGGCTCTGGTGGTTGCTGTATGCTCCTTCCAAGATCGATTGGTGTAAACCCTCCTGCAATTGTGAAATCCTACTTTTTTAGCCTTTTTTTTCCTTCTTTTCAGTAGAGACTGAAATCCTACTTCCTAAGCTACAAGAACGAAAGCTACAGAAATGATACGCAGGTCAGAAGAAACAAAGATACAAGGCTGACAGAGACGCCATGTTTATGCAGGATTGTGCTGAAGAGCTGAAGGCGAAGAAGGGGCATGTACCTGGCCAGGAAGAAGATCGGCAAGCACAAACTGGAGCAGCTCGTCGTCGAGGTCGTCAAGGCTCACCTCTGCCACCGTGCTGCGGGTGGGCGAGTTGGCGTAGTGCACGGTGACCCTCCTCAGGGCCCCGGACTGCCCCACGGTGGCCATGATTGGCCGGCCACCGAGACAAGCGTGAGCCGGTTACCTGCAGGCCATGGCACAACATCTCTCATAATCAATTGGGACCGAGAAAGTCTCTGATCAGCAGGAACAAGAGGTAATATAACCACCTCCGTAACAACTTGGTTGATGTGAACTGTTATAGGCCTAAGCCTAACACTAGTGATTTTAATTTGGGAAAAAACTTCTTTTTTTGAAGGAAACTCATCCAAATCTCTCATGTTCTTATGAATCATGCAGTGTGCATAGCTGAATTTGCAAGAAAAAAAATCAAAGAAGAAGGCACTCAAGAGCCAAGAACATGGAAAGACCGTACCGATGAAGCACAAATTGAAGAGCAGAATCGAAGTGCGAAAACAAAAAGGGAGATCGAAGGAAGATCAAGAGGATGGGAGAAGGATGCTTGGTGTACCTCTGTTTGTGTCTCTAGTTGTTTCCTCTCTTCTCTCTCAACTCAAGGTTTGTTGAAGGGATGGATGCTTTGTTAATGGGAAGAGTGGGTGGCTGCCTCAGTGTTTACATGTAGAGACACACAGGTCGCTCTCACTGTCTGTTTTTTAATATAATTCCATGGACAAAGAAACAACAGTGTTTGAGCTTTTATACGTTCCGTCCTGACGAACTTCTCATTGTCTCTGAGTTTGATTTTACCAATCACAGTAAAATCTTGTCAGTGAGTTTGTTCTCATCCTAATTTTGACTTGCCTTGCATTTTCAGTTGTGGAATACTCCTGTCTGTCCGTTTATTTCTGGAGAAAGGCATCGAATGGCAACTTCACATTTAGGAACCTTTGGTGATGCCCTTTTTGTTTTCTTTTGAAAGAACCAACAGCATGTTCGGTTGGCTGGTTCGTTTCGTTGCTGGTTCGTGAAGAAGTACTGCTGCCTGGTTTGTGTGAGAGAAAATAATGTTCCGGCTGAAAATTTACGATCGTTTACGACAAGCCACAGCCAAACGAGCAGGCTGCAAGGATTTAACCCTGGTTGGGGCGTCAGTGTCACAACTGATAGCACCACAACTTCATTGCTCATGACAACTCCTTCATTTCTGAAAAATAAATCACAATTACAATAATTCAACATTCTTTTGTGAAAAAAATACCTGATCTTGAAATCTCATCCAATCAGATGGTGAGAATGGATTTTTTTTTTAGAAAGGCAGGCCTGGTGCAAGCGGTAGAGTTTTACCGTCTGTGACCGGAAGGTTCCGGGTTCGAGTCACGGTCTCCTCGCATTGCACAGCCGAGGGTAAGGCTTGCCACTGATATTGCACAAGCGAGGGTAAGGCTTGCCACTGACGCCCTTCCCCAGACCCCGCACAGAGCGGGAGCTCTTTGCACTGGGTATGCCCTTTTTTCTTTATTTTTTTTACTGAAAAGACAAAAGTTTCTGACGGAGATTTTTTGTTCTTTGTTTCAAGGGTGAGTCACATGCACTGTTCTTCCTCCCCCTCCTTTGCTTGGCAGTTCCAAGTCATTATCATCCATGACTCCATCGATCGCGTCATCCATGACTCCATCGATCGCGTCGAGAACGTGTGGACACTTGCATTGCCGTCCATGTGAGCCGTTGCACTTAGTTTAATTTAATGCATCATTGTTGAGTCAAGGTCTTCTGCGACGACGACACTGCAGACAAAGAAATACTAAAAATAAAAACGGACCACTAAAAACTTCTGAACCAAGCACCGGTAGCAACTGTGAACTGACCTCACCTCAGACAATGTGGCTTGTTAGCACAATCGGCGATGACTCGGAGTCTTCAGAAGATGAAGACCAAGACATATCTTAAGCGCAATTGTGATCATGATCGCCATAGGAATGGTTAATGACAGCTGGATCTTTTGAAACTTGTCAGTTAGTTCTTGGAAGAAGGACCCCAATATGGTTGGCCAAGCCCAAGATTTTGTACTTCAAGCATGATGTCTGTTCATTTCTTGCAAACTAATAATGTCCAAGTGCTTCAAATCATAGAGCGCGTTTAATTTGTCGCGCAGCAAATCTTGGTGTTTGGTGCAGGAACCTTCATCTGAGATTCTCAGATCAGCTTCTGGTACACACAAAAGAAGATCCTAGCTAGTGCCAACAAGAAGCAGATATAGAAAACCCTCCTTGCTTTAGACCATGCATGTGTCCATGTTTAGCACAACAAATTCTTGGCATCCACTGATGAAATGATCTGCTCAACACACACACACTCACTAGTATACTAGACCAGTGACCAGTGGTAGTATATATGTGTAGGAAGGAATCTATTGACATGTTCCAGCCGGACACTGAATTATCTTTACATCAGTAGGTGGCAATCCCTTTCAATTCCAACGGCGACATCTCATGCATGCCTCTGCCCTTCATAGTGCCTACCATCCAATCAGTGTAAGACACGGCGGTGGTGGATTATCATGTGGTTAAGACACCGACCACCCTACTACTGATCTCTCGCCATTACTCACTGACCACGACCTCACACACAATCATTCTGTCAATTTCATCACACGAAATTTCCGGGCAGGATCGCTGCACGTCAACACGACGTGAATGCGAAGATTGGCCACCAAGACATACATTGATACATGGAGGCCAAAGACTTGGAGCCAGTCAGGTCAACCATAAAGTAGTGCCGGCAGTTGGTGTTGCCAAATTGATTAAGCTTCTCTGTTCTTAAAATAATCTGGAGAAGGATACAAAGCAGTGTACTTTGTACTACCTGATGGTGTCATGGAGATAACTACAATAGCACAGTACTGTGTAGTAACCCAAAATTTCAACTCAAAGACATGGACAACTAACTATAAAGCAGTCTACTTCTACCATACATCTAAATGTCTGATTATTTTAGATAAATATCTGAATGTCTGATACATGGGTCAGAAGATGAGCCTAATCCCATTTGGCTTCTGACTCTACTATTTCCACAGGGGAACAAGCATCTACTATCTGGTGTCTCCTGATTTCAGTGCATCATCAAGCATCCAGAGCACTAACTTCCTGGATCAGCCAGCACTAACTTCCTGGATCAGCCAACTTTTCAAATGCAATAGGACCAGACACAAATCATAGAGCTGATTATTTCAACAAGAGAAACAACGACAACAGGTAAAAAGGAAGATGTTGCGTCATGTTCATTTCGTCAGCATTTACAAGTCATGTCAAGCATCTAACGTTATCATTATGCTCCTAATTGTGAAACTGACACGGTGAAATTGTTCTTTTTTCCACAAGCACATGGCGATCTGAACATTGACCAGTGTCCTTCTGGAAGTGTCCTACCTGAGCAAATCTTTCTGCTTGTTTGTGCCGGTACGTTCACACCTTAAGCAGCAGCAGTCATTTTCAAGTTTGATGGAATCCAGACTGATCCATAGTACAAAAATGAAGTTTTTAGCTAAAAGTTGTAAACTCGTTCAATATATGAGCCGCCACTAAAAGTTGTAAACTTGTTCAATATATGAGCCGCCGTTGTACAAAGGAACTAAGGAACACAATAAATCCAATGAAACATGACAAAATGTATACTGCAAAGGCGGAGAGCATATCTTTTTAAGAAAGTGGAGGACAAATGAGGCTTCTTATGTCTCCCATTCGACAATTTCATGTTTGACTTGCTTCCAGGCTGCATCCAATATGAGGGTGATCACGAAACCACGGCCCAAAGTGCTCTATAGAGGCAACCATGAGAATACGATGGGCACAAATATGACGCTGATCATTCCTGCATCATACTTCCAAGCAATCTCATGCACAACCCCATGGTTTGAAAGTTCCTCTATGTCTTCCGCGATGAGCTGCCATGGCAAACGACGAGGTAGTAAGGTAGTTAGATAAATGCATCAAAGCAGAAAACATACAACAACAACAACGACGACGACAAAGCAGAAAACATACACTGCATCAAAACTAAATCACTAAAACATATAAGCTTTCTCTGTAATAGTTCTCCAGTTTCTGTTTAATAACTTGCATGTCAGATCCAAATTTCACAATTTAAAAGCAAAGCAGAGGAATTCACCTGCAATTTTATGTTTCTTTCTGCCTAGTGCTCTTGCACCTCTGAATTGTATGAACAAGAGAAATAACCATTTGGTAGTAGAGGAAAATCCATTGATATTCAGGCGGTGCATTCACTTGATAGGTCACGTCTTCTGTTGCCTCCTTGGTGTATCCCTTCGCAGTTCAATTTAATATGGAGGATCAGAGCAAGTAGTCCGTGATTTTCTCAGTTTCTTCTCCCATAAAAGAGAGAAAAGATGGTGACGGAAAAATTAGCTTTCCACTTCTGAATTTTCCAAGTTGACAAGTTCCATGGTCAGTGTGATGCTATCCAGGGTGTCATATACCATCTTGTATCTTGGATGCGACTTATCCTCAACCAGGAACGTGATCAATCTCAAGTGATTTTCTCAGTTTCTTCTCTCATAAAGAGAGAAAAAGATGGTGACGGAAAAATTAGCTTTCCACTTCTGAATTTTCCAAGTTGACAAGCTTCATGGTCAGTGTGATGCTATCCAAGGTGTCATATACCATCTCATATCTTGGATGCGACTTATCCTCAACCAGGAACTTGTGCATCCTACCATCTAACTCAATAAAGCTGTAACCAGCAGATTTCTTGTGATCTTTTTCCTTTAGCAACTTCCATACCTGGGCAACACCGTCCCATTTGCCATGTGACGCGTATATATTTGAAAGGATCACTAGGTTTGCTGTATTCTGCGGCTCCAGGTGCATTAGTTTTTCCACTGCTAGTTCCGCTAGCTCCAAGTTGCCATGGAAGCTGCAAGCTCCAAGCAACGCTCCCCAGATTACGGCGTCAGGCTCCATTGGCATGCTCGCGATCAGACTGTCAGCTTCTTTTAGCAGACCAGCACGCCCCAGCAGGTCAACCATGCAACCATAGTGCTCGATTCTTGGCTTCAGACCGAACTCCTCTCTCATTGAGTTGAAGAGCAGCTTGCCTTCATCCACCAAGCCTCCATGAGTACAGGCCAAAATGACTCCAACAAATGTAATGCCATCTGGTTTAGCCCCTGTCATCTAAAGAGAGTAAAATCAGCTCTAGGTTTAGCAACTACGATGCAGTAGTAGGTAATCTGGATTTAAGGTTAAGGTCACTAGTTTGGTGCTTGAAAACATATTTGATTCTCTAGGCCATCTCTGCAACCAAGTTCGCTGCAATGCAATGCAATGCAAATGGTTGAAGTAATAAGACCATTAAAAGAGTGCAAGCAAGAAATCCTCACCCTCAATTTATGAAACCAGCCCAGCGCCTCCCTCCAGAGTCCATGCACGGCAAACGCCATGATCATCGAGTTCCAAGAACAAAGATCCCTCCGCGTCCCGATGCCCCGAAACACCATCCAAGCCCGACGAATGCTGCCACACTTGGCATACATCTCAATCAAAGCATTCGCGACATAGACATTCCTAAACATCCTCCTCCCCTCGCGTACCGCTGCACCTTCTTCCCCAGCGCCAAGGCCCCGACCGCGGCGCACGCGGGCAACACGCTGCTGACGGTGACCTCGTTTGGCCGCACGCCAGCCCCCTCCCACATCTCCAGGAACGTGCGCACGGCATCCTCGTGCCTCCCGTTCTGCGCGTACCCCGACACCATCGCGGTCCAGGAGACCACGTTCCGGTCGGGCATCGCCCACCCGCCCGCCGCGCGCGCACGCCGACAGCAGCGCGTTGCGCGCGGCCGCGTCACTGTGTGTGGCAGCTCGTCGAACACCAGCCGGGACTCCACCAGGAGGCCGGACCTGGCGTAGGAGGCGACGAGCGCGGACGCGAGGTAGGGGTCCCCGGACGACGCGGCGTGCCCGGACTTGGTCAGCAGCGCGTGCGCTCACGCGGCGAACCGTTGGGTGGTGGAGGAGGAGGACAAGAGGAGGGTGAAGGAGAGTGGGGTCAGGAGGCGGAGGCGATGCGCGCGCGCGAAGCAGGGGAGCAGCAGCGGGTGGCGCGCAGCGGCCAGCGCGTGGAGCAGGCGGTTGTGGAGCGGTGCGGAGGGCGGGGACGAAGGGTAAGAGTCGATCAGGAGCGCGGCGTAGCGCAGGTCTCCGGCCGCGAGCACGCGCAGGAGCAGCGGCTGCAGGCGACGCTCCCCGCGGCGGAGCAGGCGCGCGTGCAGCCGCTTCGCTTCCTCCATCGCCGCCGCCGTTGGCGGGGCTGAGATCGCGCGTGGATAGATGGGTTTCGCCAATGGGCCTCCTCCTCTGCGTTTCCTCATGGATGGATCATCACGTTGGTTTTGGGGTGGGCCAGATAAGGCCGAGTCCGAGTGCGCGCCTATTCGGGTGTCGATTACGCACCGAGATCGCAGTCCAGCCCATGTGCTTTCGAGTGGGCCGACAGTGTTGTACGGGCTGGATGGTGGCGGGCCTTATCGAGCTTCCTCGACGACCACAACTCGATTCTACCGGCCTGGTTGGTGTAGTGAGTGGTCTCGTCGGCGTCTTGTCCGCCGGCCCTCGGCGCCGGCCTCCGCTCTCACTGTTGCCGCTGCCCGACCACCGCGACCTTCGAACCAAGCGTGTATGGCGCCAGCGTTGCTTGCCCGGTTCGCTGATAGCTCCGTTCGACGGCATGGATGTTTCGATCACAAAGATGGTATATTTGTTGGACCACAAACTGCTTGGGCCATGGGCCATGGGCCATGGGCCTCGGCAAGTCAAGATTAAGACGTCCGGAAAGTTAGGATGTCTCGCTCCACTCCCTGCTGCATGTGCCGTTCCTCTAAGAAAACAAAATCAACTCCAGCACGTCCAGCCCTTACCCCTTATGTGCTCCTTTATCCCTTGCCACAGTGTACCAACGCCCGGTGTCTGTCGATGTTTTACCACCGGCAACCCGCCACGGGAGTACCCGGGGCGGTGATTTGTTCGGAGGGGTATCGGCGTATGCAGGAACTCGGTAGTAAACGCAGGGAGACAACGATTTATCTTTGGTTCTATGCACGCCGGAAAATCACGGCGCCCTCGTCGTCCGATGTGGGGTGGATAGTATATTGCGCCTGCGCTATTTGTTGTGGTTGTGAGTTCATCGGTTATATGTCTGTCGCCCCAATCTAGGGACCCCCGCCTCCTTTATATAGTCTAGGAGGGCGGAGTCCTAGTCGATTACAAAGTAGAGATCCTAGTAGGATTATGTGTAACTAGTTCTAGTAGGATTACATGTAGGGAATCCTAGTTGGACTAGGTCTTCTTCTCTCTTCTCCGTGGAAAACCCCATGGGTCCCAGATCGACAAGCCCCGAGCATCTCATGGATGAGCTTGGAAGCCTTCTTGTTCTTCTTGGTCTTCGTTGAGTTGTTGTAAATCCGTTCGAGGTTCTTCTTGAAGTGAAACCTTGAGATGGTCTTCTTTGTCTTTTCTTGGTGATGTGCACTTTTGGATAAAAGTGCACTCGATCGAGTGTAGCCCCGAGCCTCTTGCTTGTTGGGACAAGAAGCCGAGGGTCCCTTTAGTCTTCTTGGTTGCTCCGAGTTCTTTTTCGGTGGGTGCAATTTTTCGTAAAAATTGCACTCACTGAGTGTAGCCCCCGAGCCTCTTGCTTTTGCTTGCAAAAGTTGGAGGGTCCAGATTCTTGTCTTCAAAAAAAATTTGGGGTTATGTATCCCGCAGCCCCCGAGCCTTCTCCGAGTACTTTTCTTTAGAATAGAAATCGGATGAAGGGTCTTGATGTGTTGTTTTTGTTGTAGTCTTGAGTACTTGTATTCTTGGTCTTTCATCCTTGAATTCGAGCCCCCGAGCGTAGTTGAAGCGAATGCCGAGCCCCCGAGCTTAGTGTTTGACTAAGCCGTGATGCTCTTCCGAGTTGTTTTTATTCATCCAGGTCATTTCTAGACTTCTCTGGTTCTTGATGTACCTCTTTCAGGTTGTTTGCACTTCGTCCAGGTTCTTTCTGAACTTGTATGTACCTTATCCGGGTTGTTTTATGATTTGACTAAGTCGTGATGCTCTTCCGAGTTGTTTTTATTCATCCAGGTCGTTTTCTAGACTTCTCTGGTTCTTGATGTACCTCTTCCAGGTTGTTTGCACTTCGTCCAGGTTCTTTCTGAACTTGTATGTACCTTATCCGGGTTGTTTTCTGATCAATCCGGGTTCTTCTTGAATTTGTCTTGGTACTTGCAGCACCTCTTCGGGGTTGTTTTATGATCGATCCGGGTTCTTTCTGGATTTGTCTTGGTACTTGCCGTACCTTGTCGGGGTTCTTTTTTGATCAATCCGGGTTCTTTCTGAGCTTGTCTTGGTTCTTGCCGTACCTCATCGGCGTTCTTTTTTGATCAAACCAGGTTGTTTCTGGACTTGTCTGAGTAAAATAGCTCTCAAGAGCGTGTTTTTCCCGATCTCATGGTATAGATGTAGCTCCCTTGGTTCATGGCCGCGTTGTTGATCGCCGCAAATGACCGAGTTCTTTGGGTATTTCGACGACGAGTAGTTGGATACCACGTCCGAGCAGCGGTTTGGTTGTAGACACGTCGAGCATCCGGAACTCGTCACCGACTAGTTTGTTGGTTCTGAGTAGTAGTCGAGGTAGTCATTGAGCATCGCGGCAGAGTCGTGCCGGTTGTTGTAGTGGCCTCGCTTGCTTCCAAATGATGGCTTGCTTGTTGGCCAGCTAGAACAGCTTGTCGGCGAGAATGTACGCATCATGTACGAGCCTTGATATGTACGTGCATGCACATACATAAATAGTGCACAAACGCCTTGGCCTTGCCTCGCTTCTTTGGTCGTTCGTCTTGCTTCATGGTCAGTCCTCCGTATCCGAGCTGATCTTGATTTTGTACCATTCATCTTTGAGGTCTTCGTGATCCGAGTTCTTCTTAACTTTTTGCGCTTCATGCGGACTTCGGTGTACTTTTGTCTAGCCTATAGCTTTGGGTTTTCTTGTGTGCCTTCCTCTTTTTGGCTTGGCTTCCGTATCCGAGTTGTTATGTAGATCGCGTGTTCTTCTTGCTTAAATCGTATCCGAGTACTCGGACTCCTCGGCCGAGTAGTCGGTCTTAACTTGCTTGTTATCCGGCTTGATGTACGGTTGGACATCTCGTGTGTTCAAGTAGTCGGACACTCGAACGACAGTGCTATCTTTGGTCTCGGACGGCTTGTTTGCTCGTGGCTTGGTTCGATTTAGCTTTGATATTTCAGAGTTGTAGATGTGATGACAGACTGTATATGACTTGACGTGTGCTTGCACCTTGTTGGATCGTTCATATCCCATCATGATTTATGTGTCCAAAGAAATTGATGGCTTCCTCATTTGCATGCATGCGAGATCCGTATGTGCATGTGTATTCATTGTATATATGCATATATCTTAATCTTTTGCTCGCTATTGCTTCCCGGACGTCATATGTGCATGTTGTGGTTGTACTCTGCCCTATAAACAACTCAGTGCGTTATCCTGACGAAATCCCTCGATTTATCGAGTACTTTTCTTTTCTTCCTCTTTTGTGATCCGTCGAGTGCTTTGTCCGCGCTATGACTTGTTAGATGTAGATCTTTGTGTTGACAACCTTTCGTCTGCGCTATGTAAAACGACTCGGCATAGAATGTTGCCTTGACAAACTTCGACATCCGAAAGTGCTTTCTTGAGTGGCGCTTGTGCTTTTCCTCGAGGAAAGTATTCCTATCTGGATGTAGCCCCGAGCCTCTTGCTTTTGGAACGAAGAGTGGAGGGTCTTTGAAGTTCAATTTCGGTCGACCGGTTTTAGGTGTTAGCTTTTAGCTACCCTCATCGGGCGAGCTCAAGCGTCTTTTCACTTATTTTGCTCTCGGCCGGGATGCTCGTGCATGTTTTCACCATTTTGCTTTTTGTTTGGTGTTAGCTTTTAGCTACCCTCATCAGCGGCTCAAGCGTGTTTTCACTATTTTGCTCTCGGCCGGGATGCTCGAGCATGTTTTCAACCATTTTGCTTTTTGTTTGGTGTTAGCTTTTAGCTACCCTCATCGGCGAGCTCAAGCGTCTTTTCACTATTTTGCTCTCGGTCGGGATGCTCGGGCATGTTTTCACCATTTTGCTTTTTGTTTGGTGTTAGCTTTTAGCTACCCTCATCGGTGGGCTTAAGCGTCTTTTCAAATTATTTTGCTCTCGGCCGGATGCTCGGGCATGTTTTCAGACCATTTTGCTTTTCGTTTGGTGTTAGCTTTTAGCTACCCTCATGGGTCGACAACTTGCTTGATGTAGTCGAACAAACATGATGAAGTCGTCCGACAGCTCGTCCGAGTTGTTTCTTGATGAGTTTAACCGCAGACGAGTGACTGTCATGTCGAGTACTCAAAACAACTCGGAACGTGTTGCCGGGTTCCCATTATTTGGTTGCTTGCTCGTGACTTGTCTTCTTTGTCAGAGGTGGTCTTCTCTTTATTGACCGTGTAGCTTGTATTTCTTGACCTTCTCTCGTATGAGCATGTCGTATGTATAAATCAATGCACAAACACCTTTGGCTTTGCTTGCTTGCTTCCTTTGTTAGCTTCTTGCATGTCCGTGATGTATTCGTATATGAAGTTGTAGCAGTACAATTTGTTTCTGGATCAGAGTCATCGGACGGATCGCTCGCTTCAGGCTTGGACTACTTCCGCGCTTGATGTAGTCGAGTTCTTTTTAGTACTGACGTCGTAACCTGATATTCCTCTGTTCTGCACTAATTCGGTACTTGTCTTGGATAGAATTGGCTCTGGACTTGTATGAACTTCTGTTGCTTGTTCGAGTAGGAGTAGGACTTGTTTCTAGGTTGGACTTGAATCCGCATGAAGATGAGCTGTATATGTGCATGTCGTATGGATGGTGACGTGTGATGTAATTCCTTTGGTAGAATACTTGCTTGCCGTGTGGTGCTTTCTTGCTTGCATGCTTCCTTCCTTCTCTTGCTCGTGGCTTCAAAGCAATTTGAAACGTATACGTATACGCAGTTGTATACGGTCTTGGACTCTTGGTGGTCGTATCCGAGTGCGGCTCAAAAACTATTTCCATAATTGACGCTTGCTAATCCCTTTTGGTTTGTACGGTGACTTGGTTGACTTTTGTAGGAAATCCTTGTTTCTACGTGTTGCAAGCTTGCTGTTCGTAGCCTTACAGTGCTTGCGTTCCCTGACAGGTACCCGTGCGGGTGCCACATCTATCTGTGGTCGTTGAGGCTGAGAACCCTGC